TGAGACTGCACTCGCTCTGGGCCACCTGCCCAGCACCAGCCACGTGCTTCCGCTCCAGAAGGCAGGGGTCAGGTTTTGCACATTTCTGTGTCTCTACATTTTGAGAAGATGTTTGCTGATGATTGAGCTGGATGTGGGGGGTGAGAAGGAAACAAGTGAGATGCAGCCTTGTCCTCAGGGACCCACAAGTCAGTTGGGGATACGTGATTTCTCCTGTCACAGAGCTCCCGGTCTGGGGAAGCAGTTTCCTGTTGGGGACAGGTCTGCCCTTCCTCCCTGACCCCTCCGTAGGACCCAGAACAAGGTTTAGAGACTTTTTCCTTCCCTCAAGCTGCTGTCACCAGCCAGGCACAGGCAAAGGCAAGCGAGAATGACAGGGTCTGCCCAGCACCTGGTCTGGGTCTCCACTCTCGACGGCACTCAGAGCAAGAGCTGGAACCTCTCCCAGATCAGGTGGCTGGATTGGCTCCACCGCAGCTTTAATTCTGCGCCTTGAGCCTCCATCCCAGTCAGACTGCACTGTCGGGGAGAGGCTGGAAGACTGATGGACTGGGTGCTTGGATCAGGCGGCAGCGGATCCAAGCAGGGAGTGGATGGCATTTTCCAGGGGTTCACTGCGGAGACTATAATGAAGGACCCAGGCACAGAGTGTGGGCAGGTCTAGGCCATGAAGTGACTTCCGGAGACCAGCGACAGTGGGGAGCCGTTGCCATCCCTTGTCCTCAGACAAGGGAGGGCTCTTGCTACAACTCAGCCAACGCTGCTTCCCAGGGAAGGGGCCACAAGGATAGGTTCTGTGTCCTGGGGCAAGGAAGCAGGCCAGTGCCTGAGCCAAGGGCAGCAGGGAAAGGGGACAAATACCCTGGCTGCTCCCCGAGCCTTCGGTCCCACCCCCTCTCCTGTCAGGCTGTCACATTAAAAATAAAAGACTGAAAGAGCCTGGGGGACTCAGTCGGTTGGGGGTCAGCCCCTGCCCCCACTCCGAGGGTTTGGGAGTTCAGAGAGTGGATGGGGAGAGGGAGCAGAGGGAGATTAATAACCAGAGTAAGGCTGAAGGCTCACACCCACCCTCTGTGCCCTCCACCCAGGGCAGTGACCTGACCCCGGAGGCCCTGCCGGTGGGTGAGTGGGAAACTGCTCCTCCAAGACACACACTAGCCCTCTCACTTTACAGGCTGCCTCCTGGTCTCCCGGAGCGTTGGCAAGTTTATTCCTTCCATCCCCACCTCATTTCCTGCCCCTCCCAGGTCCGCTGGAGGCTGAAAAGCAGGTGTGTCCAGGAGGTCTCCTCAGAGGCAGAGGCGCACACAGGCTCCAGGAGCTGCCTGATGAAAGAGGACGGGGGTGGGGGAGCGTCAGTCCAAGAAGGGGAAGAGGGGAGAACAAATATTTCAGAGCCCTATTTTGAGCCCTATTTTGCAGCAAGTTGCTCTTTCATCCATTACTCATTCCCCCACATTCATCCAAATATTCCTGAGATTGACATCAGGATTTCCAATTCTGGGACAGAGACAGGAGTCCCAGAGAGGTTTTGTGGCTTCTCAAGTGTTGCACAGCGAGCAAGCAAGCAATAGAGTCAGTTATAGATTCGCATCTGCCTGAGTCCAGGAGAGAATAGATAAGGTAAAGTTGGTCTGAAAAGATGTGGAAAAGCTGGAATGTGGGCAAAGGCTGAACAGCAGCCCACGTCAGGGCCAGTCAGGGGCAGGGAGCTCAGCCAGTGGCTGGTGGGAGGAGTCTGCGTGGTCTTGTTTTGCACTTTGGGAGAAAGAGCTGGTAGGGTGGGGAGCACCCCTGACTCCCCACAGGGCCATAACTGGGGTGGGGGACATCCAGCTTGGTCACTGGGTTGCCATTTCTGCCTCCAGGCCTTGGTCTCCCATGGGTCCTTGAGGGGTGGGGAGAGGCTTTGTGACCCAAGTGGAGAGGGCTGAGAATCTTGAGCAAAGACCCTAGAGAGGGGCTGAGAAGCCCTTGGAGGAGGGAGACTGCTATCTTCTTGGCCCGAAGAAATAATTTTACTGGAGATGAGTTTTGGCCAGGAAAGAAGGCTAAGAGATAGAGGCTCCAGCACTGTGTACTGGGGCAGGGGGCGGAGAGAGAGGTCATTGGGGTCAGGGCCAGGAAGGACTAGTACTGTGTATTTATGGGGGTGGGGGTGGGAGGCCCAGGAACCAGCAGTGAGGGTGGTTTGGGGAGGGCAGAGGTGGGGGTGCGGCTTCAGGGCAGTGCTCTCTGGGCCTGGGGCCCAGGGTGGGGACATGGTGAAGTAAGGGCCCAGGGGAATTGGGGATGGGGGAGTCTCAGCATAGCTGTTACCCCAGACTGAGGAGTCCTCTGGCCTGGCTCCTAATGTAAGTGGTCACCCCACCCCCAGCCAGACCTTCAGGATTGGAGGAGGCCATGAGGGAACGGCCTGGGGAACTGTGTGTGTGTGTGTGTCCAAATGCTTAAGGCAGCCCCAGGAGATGGGTGGGCCTGGGAACTGCCCTCCCAGAAATGTGGTCAATTAGAGCAATCCAGACAAAAGCTGAGGGAGTAGTGGTAGTAGTAACATTCACACTCCCTGCAGCCAGCCCTTTGACAGGTGAAGAGGCATAGGAAGGGAGGTGGCTGGCCAACCCCACACAGGGCTTAAAGGGCGTGTCTCCCTGCCCCAGGCTGGGCACAGTCTTCCCGCCAGAGGGCTGGCAGCAACCCTCGTCATTACCCAAAGGGACAGGTGACTGACTACCTTCGGTCTTAACGTCCACCAAAAATATAATTTTCCTTGTCTTAAAACAGCATAAAAATAATAGCTCCTTTCTCACAGAGATGGTGGGAGAAGTAAACGACTTAGTGTAAGAGCTTTAGAACAGTGCTTGATACACAATAAGCACCCAATACCTGTTAAAAAAAACGATGATAATGATGATGATAGAAAATGCTACTGTTTTAAAGGGGACCGAAATATGACACGGTCTGATTAAGCCACAGAGCTGGGCAGCCTGTCCAGCATGGAAGGCCGCTGGCCTGTGGGCTCTGCCTGTCCCTTGGTGTCAGGGGAACAGCAGTGGCCCAGCGTCTGCAAACTCGGCCTGCACTTCCTGGTCTCTGCCCGGAGGTTCCCCTGTGAGTTGTGCGTGTCCAGATCCTCCATCCAGTCCTGCGTCACTGCTGCTCAGCCCAGTCTGCCTGGCTGGCCCGAGCCCCAAGAGGGGTCAGCTGAGACACCGCTTGCCACATCACGTCGTCTGCCTCCTGCCTTGCCCTTTGGGTCTGCTGTGAGTCGCCAGCAGCCAAAATGCTCACTATGCTTTTTCTGGGCTGGTGCGCACTTCTCTGGTACTTTACGTGCTGGTCCATTTAGTCCTGGGAGAGCAGCCCTGCTCCTGTCTCCATTTTGGAAAGAAAACTGATGCAGAGACCCGAAGTGATTGGCACAGGGTCACAGAAATGGTGAACCAGGCAGGTTGGCTGCAAATTTCACACCCTTACAGCCACACTCTACTGCTCTGAGGGGACCCCTTTACTTCCTCCTAAGGCTTGGTGGCCTGACCAAGGCTGTGTGAATGAATGATTGACTTTGTTGCTTGTTGGCACACTGGAGGACTGCTTATTCAGACTGCCCTTATCAAGTCATCACCTCCCCTCCCTCTCCCTCTTGCCTATGAGAAAAAGCTCTCACTGCCTATTTTATTCTAAGATTTCTGTCCAGTGGCCTGATTCTGTTTTCTGGTGCCTTTCCTAGACTCAGACCTCTCCATGTGACTCCAAACCTGGTTTATTACACCTCTCTCTACAACCCCTCACTCTTTAGTATTTATAAGGCAGTGCCAGTGACTCTTCTCATTGGCTGTGGAGCTGACATCTGTGAGGAATTGGCCAATCAGAAGCTTTCCTCTGCTCCACTCCCAATACCACAGGTTGCCTATTTCTGAACACGAGTAAGAGTGTACAGGGGGTGAAAGGTTTGATGGGGGACAAGGAATCTCTCTGGAGAGGCCAGGCCTGAGAAAGGGTTCAAGGTGAGTTGAGACCACAAAGGCCAACTCAGTGCTCTGACCTTTCTCTCTCTCAGCTTTGAATTGCTAGGTACTCATTCTGGAGTGTGAGTACAGAGGATGCTACTTCCATACCTTCAGCAAGCTCTTCTTCACCTCCCTTTACTTCTGCTCAGGCTGTGGGCCTTAGGAAATGGGCACAGGCCTTGTTTACTCGCTGGTGTTTACCCCTGGGTCTGGCCTTGGTCCCACATAGGCCCAGGCCAAATGGTACAAGCTGGATGATGTAATAGCTCTCCTTTTTTCTTTGGCCAAAAGGCTGCTCCTAGCCCAGTTCCAGGGGGCCCCTGATGCTAAGGGGTTTGTCCACAAGGAGGTGCCACATGAGTCCCCAGGGTCCTTGTGATGTTGTCTGTAGGATGGTGGACAGGAGCGGAATCACAGGTATCCACTGGGGCCAAGAATCTAGCTGCCCCAGGTGACCCTCAGGTGTTGGTGGATACTGTCAGGGGCTCCTGGTTGGGCTTGGGTACCCAGGTATGGTGGGGACCACACCGTTATGTTCTGATTAGTAGCAACCCTGAGCGAGAGATAGAAATGCTCAGGGTGAGATGCTCTGCAAACCCTGCCTGGCTTTGCAAACTGTGGCTGGAGCCTTCATAAGCAGTGGGGCAGGATGAGGCAGGAGGAACCCACTGGCCTGCCCCTGGCTTTTCTGTGGTGTAAATGAACGACAGAGCACACAATCAGCATCCAAACTTCGACCAGCCACCTGCTGGCTGTTGTAGCAGTTCTCACAAGTCTTTGGTGGGTTTACCTGAGGGTCTTTGGTGGTGTGGGTGGGGGGCACACTCCAGCCTTCAATCCGTTTCCTCCACCAGCCCTGGGAAAACTCACCGGGGGAGGAAGTGGTTTCTCTGTGTGTGCCTTTGTCTCCGGGTATGTGTATGTCAATTAGAATTAGTTTTGGTTGTGTCAGAAAAACCCAAATAATAGTGTTTTAAATAAGACTTACATTTATTTCTCTCTCACATTAGTGAAGTCTGGCAGTATTTAGTCCAGGTTTGTTATGGTATCTCTGTAACCATTAGAAATCCAGGCTCTTCCTATTTTATTGTGCCACCCATAACAAATATGACCCCACCTCATGGTGCAATATGGCTGCTGGAGCTCCAGCCACCATAACAGCATTGTAGTCAGCTGAAAAAAAAAGGGAGTGGGGAAGAAAAGCACACACTGCCCTGAACTGAAAAACACATTCATGTGTCACACAGGATACTTCTTTATGTATCCTATTGGGCAGAATCTAATCATGTAGCTGCCCTTAACCTCAAGAGAAGACAAAAAAAAAAAACGTAGTCTTTAGTCTGGGTGGTCATGTGCAAGATTAAAATAAGGAGTCTTGTTACTGAAGAAGAAGGTGGAACAAATACTAGAGTAGAACTAGCTGTGCTTTCCGCAGCACGAGACCTGAGTGGAGGGTTCCGGATGCTGTGCGGTTTCCACAGGCCTCTCCCGATAGCAGCCGGGTTGTGGGCAGTGGGGCTCTGCCTCTTCATCTGGGCCCTGCCTCCAGCCTTGGGGCTTGGAGTCCCCCTTGCAGCTGTGGTGGCAGCAGGAACACGATCTTCCTGGGGTCTCCATCAGGGAGAGGATCAGTTTGATGATCAAGGCCAGCCATGCCATCCCGAAGAGGATCCACAGAGACACTGTGTTCTTGTACCACAGTGGGTACCTCCGGGAGGGGTCCATGCCTAGGGGAGAGGCAAGGTCAGAGGATGAAGTCCTGGGAAGGTCAGGGCCATGGCTGCGAAACAGAAATGGACAGACACGGTGTGACACTGTGGGCAGAATCCGGGAAGTCCAAACTGGTCTGAGATTGCTGGCCTGGTGGTCAGGCCCACGAGACCCCAGGAAGCCTCCCTGGATTGGCATCTTGGGTTCGGAAGCTACGTTTCCTCTTTGTCTAAGGTCCTCTGCGTTCTAAAGTGGGGTTCCGGGCCCAGCAGCATCAGCACCACCTCAGAGTTTGTTAGAAATGCACATGGTTGGGCCTCACTCCAGACCCACTGAATCGGAAACCCTGGGCGTGGGCCCAGCAAGCTGTTCTGATGCCTGATCTGCTTTCTGCCTCTCTCTGCGTGTGGTTCTCCTCCTACCTGAAGGGAGGCAGTGTGCTAGGAGCCTTAGGAAGAACAGATGGAGCTGCTGGAGTTTGTATCCTGCCTCAGTTCTCACTATCTGGGTGACCTTCATCTGGCTGACTGTCCCTCACCTGTAAAAAAGAGAAAATAATTTCTTATCCTTGGTTAAGCCCCAAATTCTTATCCCAGGGCTCCTATTTACTTCTCCAGCCTCAACTTACACACTTCTCCCTTTGAGTGTTGGGCTCCAGTTACTCTGGTCTTTTCCCTTTTGCTTCATCTGTCATCTTTTCTGCCCCAGGGCCTTTGCATTTGCTGTCCCCTAAGCTCAGAATGTTCTTCATTTCTAATTCCTTTTGGCCTGGTTATCACCCTCTCATCCTTCAGGCGTCAGTTCAGACGTCACTCCCCAGTGACTAGACTGGGACCCTCTGTTAAAAGCTCTCACGGTGCATGTGCTTTTGCTGGGTGAGTGGGCCTCGGCTTCCTCACCTATAAGATGGAGGTAACGAGGGCGTCCTCTTTCTAAGACTGTTGTGACTATCCTACAGGCTCACGATCCGAAGTGCTCAGAGTGGTGCCTGCAACACAGCGTGGTGTGCTGTTCGCTGTGGGTGGTGATTGTTGCACTCGCCATTGGTCCCCACACTGGGGCCCCCACCACAGTCAGGACTGGATGAGTCACAGCTGAGAGAGGGAGCGAAGGGGGTGCTGTGAGGCTCAGATCCTCATGTCGAGGGCCTGCTCCATTACTGAGTTCTCCCCTGTCTGTTTCCTGGGGAGAAACCGTCTTGCTTCCCTCATTAGCCTGGGATCGTTCAGAGGAAGATCTGTCCTCTGAATGGCATCCTTTTCTCTCTTAGCTCCCTGTATACCAGCCCTCTGTCCACTCCCACCCTGTCCCACTGGCCCCAAGACAACCTCTCTGTCCTGTCCTCCCACGGCCAGGACCCTCGCCTGGGTCCCAGCTCAGGGAGGAGGAACTCACAGCCCAGACCAACCTCACCGCCGGCAGGAGCCGGCATTGGATTAGGCTGATTGGGTTACGGGCCACGATTCCGCTGGCAGTCCCAAATGTGATCAGCACTGCGTCAGCTTGCTGCCCCTGCCACCCGCTAGCTCAGCTCGCTCCTGGCAACGGAGGGGAGAAGGTGTTCCTCTCCACGTTCATTTTATATTTTTAGCTGAAATCACAGGTGGCAGGAGACCAGGCAGCTGGCAAGGCGCTCAACTGAGTCGCAAATGCAATTGTGGGGGCTCTGGGTCCAGGGAGGAGCCCGTGGCTGGGGCCTGGGGACTGGTCCTGCCACTGCCTCTGGGCAAAGGGGAGCAGCTGTCTGTTGGGACACCGCCCCTGTGGCTGCTGACTCAGGGACAACGGACACCCACAGTCCAGTGGCCGACCCTCGCATTCCTGTCCAAGAAAGGGGGTTGGCCCTGTCCCTAGAGGACAGGGAAGGCTGAGAGACATGGAGAGTGGGGTTTGTCCCCTCTCAGCTGTGGAAGATTCTGGAACACATGCATAGGAGGAGCCCTGACTTGGGGGTCTCTTTTAAACCTGCCCTAGACTTGTCTGCTCCATGACCTTAATGAACTTTTCCCCTCTCAGGGCCTCATTATCTCCCTGTAAATGAAGCAGTCAAGGCCTCTCAGTGTGGTCGCTTGCCACTGAAATGGCTGCAGGAGGAATCAGAGTGAGTAGCAAATCTCTGAAGAGGTAGCAAAGGGGGCAGCTCTGCCTGCAGGGTGTTTGGTGGAAGGGGGCTCTGGGAGGTCTGGGCCCTGTACCCCTGCCTGGCCGCTCCCCAGGCGTGGCTCACAGGGCAGCAGAGGCCCAGTCTGCCCTGCCCCTCCCTTGATGGCAGCAGAGGCCTTCCCTCCCATCCCCAGGGTGCCTGCGGAGGGCCACCCCTCCTCCCCTTCCCTGCCTCGGGGGCTCTGGGGCCTCACACACCCTCACAGAGATTCCCCTCAACTCCGCATTGGTTTTCACTATTAGCTTTAAGAGCTCCTAGCTGGGGTCCTGTTCCCACTTTTTTGCCCTCCCCATGCACGGGGCTCTCTCAGAGAACCAGGCCTTCTGGGTTCAGGACGATCGCTGGGGGAAAATCCTGAGTTTCAAGCTCTGAACCCTAGGGGCGGGGGGAGGGGGGAGGGTGCTGCAGGAACCACTGGTCAGAAGAGTATTTCGGGAAGGCCCAAGTGCATCATGGGAGGAAGGGGGCTCAGAGTGGAGAGGGAGGCAGGACCTGGTCACGCAGAAATTCCCACAGGCCTCGTCATGGACTTTGTACTCCGTTCCTAAGACTCTGGGAAAAATGGAAGACTCAGAGGAGCTGGGCAGGTGACTTGAAAGCACTTGTCATTTTTATAGGTCGTAAGAGCCAAGGGGGGGACAAGAAGACCCACAGTGTCATCCTCATTGTCCTCTGTGTCAGTGGGACACAACCAGCCAGACGCAGCTGCCCCGCCTGGACTAGGGAAGTTGCAGTGGGAATAGACAGGAGGGTTCGGACCTCAGAATCATCCTGTGTGCTGCGAGGGGCGGACGGAGCCCATGGCACTGCTGGCCTCAGCTCTCCTAAGACACACCTCTCCACCCCGAGGGTAGCAGGGGAAACACGACCCAGTTGGAAGAAAACTTCCCCAGGATTTCCTTCCAGAGTGAGCCTCCCTCCCAGGATGGAGGATTTCAGGAAGGGGTGGCATAAGGCACCTGACACCGGACCCTTCTTCCTGCAGAAGGAGAGGTTCGGAAAAGGGGACCTTGCACACAGGCTAGAAGGCACTGAGGACGTCTTAGCCATTGCCTCTCACGGGCCCCTCATTTTACAGTCAGGAGCACTGAGTGAGGCCCCAAGAGGGGGTGTGTGAAGTGGTCTGGAGACAGTATGAGTTTTGGAATCAAACAGGTGAGAATTGATGTCTTACCAGCTGTGCAATCTCAGGCAAGTGGCTTGGCTTCTCTGAGCTTCAGCTTCCTCCTTAGTGAAGTGGGGTGACACCCATGACTAGGTTTTCTGATGAGCTAGCTCTGTGTTACTTTGGTAAAGCCACATACCCATATTCCAGGCTGGTTCTGTCTCCAGGGGAGTGAAGACGGGCAGGGCCGCCTCCCTAGTTTGAGACCAGGGGTCCAAACAAATGCACAGAGACACTGGAGCCCAGTGTGGTGGTGGTGCCAGTGGCTACTGCTCACACTGTGGACCTTCAGCTCCTGAGGCTGAGGGGCTGGGTCCAGCCACCCCTCCCTCCCACCCCCACAGAATGTCCTCTACTGCCACCTGCTGGGCATATGCCTCAGCTTTATTATGCAAGGATTTCTAGGGCCCTAGTATTGCCCACATGGGTTAAATCACAGATTAAACCCCACCTTTGGGGTTTTGGCCCTCGGGGCCACGCAGCCCATTCTTCCTGGCACTCAGAGTGCGGTTGCCAATTGTTTCACAGTGTGGGGGGCTGGAGAGTGGTTTCCTTAGTCTCCTGGGCTCTCCAGCCTGATTGATCCTTGTGGGCACAGCCCCGGGGCAGTGGGAGGCTTGGTGCTTAATGGGGCAGCGTGAAGTGGGGAGGAGAGACCCGGGACAAGGACAGGCTGGGGAGGGGGTCAGGGACTCCCCTTATCCGGTGAGCTCCAAGAACGGAAGTTGACCTGTGGACACATGAGGCCCTCCCAGCGCTCGTCAAGATGGCCAGGAGTTCGACCTACAGCCTGAAGCTCTGTTTCAAACTCCAGTTGTCATTTTTGCTGAGCGACCTTAGCCTGATCACATGACAAAGGTGGGCTGACCCTGTCTTCTGGTCTTTGGGCATCAAGATCCCACTGGGCCTGGCATGAGGGGGTGTCCCGAGGGACGTGGCCAAGGGGGCAGCCGCGTGGAGGGCCAGGCCGCGGAATCCCAGCCACCCCTCCCACTCGCCGCCGCCAGGGGCTCTTACCAATCACGTAGTCCCCGAAGCCCACGGTGCTGAGGGTGATGAAGGCGAAGTAGAAGCCCTCCACGTAGCTCCAGCCCTCCATGTAGGAGAAGAGCAGCGGGGGCAGCAGCAGGAAGATCAGGAGGCCGGAGAGGAGGGCGCAGGAGCCTGCCAGCCAGCGGGCCTTGGCTGTGTCCTGGGGGTGCACACAGCGCTCAGCCCCCATGTGGCCTCTGTCAGTGCAGGGGCAGGGAGCGGCCAGCCTGGGGGTCCCGGGCTGCCTGGGGCCTCTCCACCTGGCTGTGTTCTCTGGGTTCCCAGCCAAGGCCTTGGTGCCTTGTGCCCTTCCTAACTACCAGGTCCCACCATGTCTCCCCAGTGATGCTCTTTTATTACTAAAAACCCCCTTCTGGGCAGTGACCCCCAATCCCACCAGGTCCCCACCAGTAACTCTGATACCTAGAAATAGTCCTCATGTCCCTGCACTGACCCCAGGCTCCCTTTCCCATCACAGCTCTTTTCCCACCAGACACCCCCCTGGGGCACAGTGACTGCCCTCACCATCGTGGGCCAGGACTCCCCTCAGTGCCCCCTCACTCCACCAGTGCCCCTCCCCTGCTCTGCTCCCTTGCCCCTCACCTGCCAGGTGCCGCCCAGCCTGCGGGCACAGCGGTGCACTCCCTGTACCATGAGGTGCCCCAGGTGATTGAGCACCACCAGGTTGAGTGGGATTCCCACCAGAGCAAAGAAGATGCAGAAGAGGCGGGCGGCCATTGTGTGGGGGCTCAGGTTGCCGTAGCCTGAGGGGAGACAAGGGCACTTCAGAGGATCTTTCCTTCACTAGGGGTCCCCATCCCTAATCCACTTCCCAGTTAGTGTTTGTTGAGGCCTTCCTGTCCTGTGCAGGCACCGTGCAGGGGGCCGATATGTCCGTTCCCTCCTTCCGGATGGGGTTGGCGCCCCATGTTCCACGGATTGGAAAATGCGCTCTGGGAGGCTCAGCGGTGCGTGTGAGCTCCAACCCAAGAAGTGTGAGAGTCCCGTCTTTCCTCTCTTCACTTCCTGCCTCTCTGGCGGGCGGAGGAATGTGGGACAGCACAGGACACTTTGGAGCCCGCTGCCCCTGCCCCTCTGGGGTGCAGGCTGCTGTGCCCAGGTGGCTCCGAGCACCAAAGGCAGGACCCGATGAAGGACTCCTTCAACCAGTCATCTTGCTGGGGGACTCCCATCGCCTGGCCAGGCCTTTCTCAGAGCCTCACCGCAGTCTACGGCTCATCCCCATTCAGGCCCCCGCCTCCCCTCTCTCCATTCACAGGTATCGGACCTGCTTTGCAGCTGAGGCTCTCGCCATCTCTCCTGCTCCTACTCTGTGCTTCAAAGGTGCCCCCTCCACACACATCCCCTACACACCTGATTCTGTCTTGATAATCTGATTTCCAGAGGGTCCTAACACACCTGGGATCCTTCCCAAACCCCTCGGGAGTGAGGGTCAGAGGACGGACCATCAGGTAACCTGGGGGAGGTGGAGGTGGGCTTCTGTCATGAGGATAAGGGAGTGGGGGCGGCTGGGGGAGGGGGAGGTGTACCTATAAGGAGTCTATCAGTCTGGACATTCCTCCCTCCTCCATTCTCCTCCACCCCGTCTCTCCACTTCTTGGTCACCATTGTCTTGTCTTTCTAAAATGTAAAACTGATTATACCATTCCCCAAGTTATTATGCTTCATGATCGCTCACGTCTGCTGTGGAAAGTCCAAACTTTCACCCAGGCCATCACTGGTCCAGTTCTGGCTACACCCCTGCCCTGCCGAACCCCCAGATGCCCTCATGGCCTTTGAACACGATACTCCCCCCACCAAAAGCTTGCTTCTTTTCCCTCTCTGCCCACCTGTAAATGGCCCAGCAAGTCAAGTCCTGGCCCCCTGGTGGGGAAGTGGCTCTACCAACACTCTGCTTGGCTGTGAGGGTGACCTACTCCTTGTATGAGAATGATTCGTTTCCACGTCTGCCACTCCTGAGGGTGTTGAGCCCTGAAGAGCAGGGCCTGGGCCTTAATCATCTTTATATTCTCAACAACCAGCATACGACTGACAGTCCGTGGGCGCTCACCATACGTGTGTCGCATGAACACAACAATGAATGAATGAATGGAAAGTTCAGGAATGAACGCATAAATATTAAACAGACAAACAGAACTCCTGAGGGGTTTGGGAGGGATCCGTGCACCCTGCCCCATGTCACTACTTAAAGGCCCCACCCCTGACCCCACACTGAACTCGCACTGTATTGAAACTGGCGGTTTACTCATCTGCCTTACTAAGAGTTCTCAGGGGATACGGTCCCAAGAGAGGCCAAAGCATGTACTAGTATAGAGATGGGTTTGGGAGGCAGAGCCACTTCCGGGGTTTGAATCCCAGCTCTGCCCCTTCAGATTCGGTTTCTTCGTCTGGAAAACGGAGACCTCCCAGTGTGGTACAGGAATGAAAGGAGGCCGTGGGGGTGTCCCGTAGATGAGAATGTGAGCCCTTCAGCACCTAGTATACAGAAAGTGCTACATAATTGTTTGTTGTGTGAATGAATGGATGAGTGATCGAACTCCCCTGAATCAGCTCTGGTCTGAGGGCTTCAGAGGCCTGGTCCAGAGCCCCCCCTAGTTTTCCTTCTTGGCCTTTAGGGGTCCCTCCTTGAAAGGAGGGAAGTCTCCTTGCTGTTGGCATTGGGAAGAGGTAAATGTCTTGGTAAACCTGTCCGCCTTCCTCCCACCAACCCCTCCTCCTCCAGCTGTGGGTGCCCCAGGGTCCCATCCTCCGTCCCTGGGGGTCTTCTCATTCTAACCGGGGGATGGCAGCACTTAGACCTGAATCTGGGAGGCTCCCTAGATGCCTTTGCCTTTCGGAGGCCGACAAAAATGGGTTTTTCTCCTTCCCATCCTCGCAGAACTGGTGGACATCAATTCAGTCTGCTGAATGCTCGGTGGCCATGGCCCCAGTGCCACCGAATCCCCCTCTCATTTCAGTGTGTCCCCCGCCTGTCGCCTCTCTTGCTAAGTCCAGTCCTAAGACACCTTGCCCTACAAGGTCCTCTGTGGTTGGGCTCCCCTGTATCTTCCCGAAATCAATACTCAGTTCCAACCCTCTCGGCCTCCTTATTGTTCCCCAAACACACCAGCCACACTGTACTTGGGGCCTTTGCACATGCTGGTGGGGGGTGCTTTGCCCACTTGTCTGCTTGGTTTGTTCCCTTACTGTGTTTATGTTTCCGCTTCAATGTTACTATGTCGATGGCCAGCCATCCACAGCAGCCGCCACCTTCCATCACCGCCAAACTCCCTTCCCTGGATTTATTTTTCTCTAAGCACCTCTTATACCCCCAATATTGTCTATGTATCTGTGAGTTTGCTGTGTGCTCCCACACAGTAGAATGTCATTCCACCAAGGGCAGGGACTTGCCAGCTTGCTCACCACTGCATCCCGACACCCAGAACTGTCTGGCCCACACCAGGTACTCCGTCTTTTCATTAAATGAATGGGTGGATAGATGAGCGAACAGATGAGCCGGCTGTGGGTGGACTTGCAGATAGCGAACAATTTCAGGGCTCAGGCCCGTCCTGCTGGCCCAGGAGTGTCATATGCTTGTCAGACCCTGTTTCATTCTAGGGCTTCAAAAGCACAGCCTGTACAGGGTGCTGGTCCTAAGGTAGTGGAAAGAGCAACACAGTCCCTCAGCTAGGTTTCAAATCCTAACTCTGCTGCTTGCTAGCTATGCGATCTCGGGGGAGTGTGCCGCTTCTCTGTGCCTCAATTTCCACATCTGTGGCATAAAAATAATAAACCCTGTCCTTGGAGTTTGGACCCTATGGATAAAATGTGAGGTGGGGCAGGTCCCCCTTTAGCTGCCCTCCTTCCCCTCAGCCCGCAGAACAAAACAGAGAGGAGGGGACAGGGAAATAGACCAGGCTAAGCCCTACAGAGTTGGGAAGAGACATCCTGTGGAATTCTGAATTCAGGGGGCCAGAGTCATAGGCCTGGGGCAGATGGTGTAGTCAGTGTGGGGTTCAGAGACCTAATACCCCCACACATGTGACCGTGCGTCAACATCCTATCACCCCGGAACTCAACACATGCTGGCAGAACGGGTGTTTTTGGAATTCATCAGTGTGTCAGCGTTTGTTGAGTCCCACTGAATGCTGGGCCTTGTACTGGATCCTGGGGGTACAGAGATGCACAGATATCATCCTGGCCAGTCCTTCCAGGCACAGGGCCCATAGAGTGTGAGGGCACTTCCAGGAATGCTTGCCTCAAGTTGGAGCACTGTCCAAGCTCCTATGTAGCCCCGAGACCGGTTTCCAAGAAGTTGATCTCAAACTACATCAAAAGTTTGGCTGATTTGAAACTAGATAGAGAGTCCCCGGGTGCTCCTCCCGGGTTCCTCTCAGGGAGGACAGAGCTTGGGGTGCTGCTTTCCTGGGGAAAGGAGCCTGGCTGGGCAGAGCAGCTGGAGGTAGCCTGAGACACAGGCGGTGTCAGCCTGCCACCTGGTGGTTATTCTTGTGTCATGCAGGGCCAGGGCCGGGGGATGCAGCCATTTGACTTATTCCCTGGGTCTAGAGCTGGGGTATCTAAGGCTGCTCTTCACTTTCCCCTCACAAAAGCCCTCGGGCGCCCTCCCAGGAGAAGTTCCACCTCCGCTCTCGTGAGGGCAGGGCTAGAGAAATGGGGCTGGTGGTGTGGGCAGATCTGGCCCAGGTGTCCTGGGTGTGAGGGAAGAAAGGTGCTTGGAGAGGATAGTGATGGGGTGAGATGGTGCCTTTGTGAGCTGAGGAGTGGCCTCCGAGAATGGCCACTTCTTGCCAAAGGTTGAGGACAGGTCGGGTCGAAAGGCTGTTTTTGGATTTCTCTCCCCTCTTCCTCACCTCCCAATCCTCACCCATGTCCCGCCCCCAATTACTCCTGGGCTCAGTGTTGGGTGGGTCTGGCCGAGGAGACCAGGGCACGTACAGCACCCAGAGCAGCTTTACTCCTGCACGGGAGACCCTCTGCTTCCCGAGAGGTTGTGGGAGGCAGAGTCCCAGGGAACTGTCCATGCTTCTTCCCCAGACCTTGCACAGAAACTCAGGAGGACCCTGGTGAAGTGCACAACCTGATATGGCAGATCTGCTGTGAGCCTGAGACTCTCTGCTCCCAGATGGTGCCCGCACTGCAGGGACCACCTCTCTAAGAGTCCTGAGGCCCTGGTAACCTCATAACCCTCCCACCCCAAAAGGCACTGGTCCCCTGTCCCTGAGGGGGAGGCCACCCTCCCCAGCCCCGCCCACCTGGCCCCATCCTGCTCTTACCAATGGTGGTGATGGTGGACACGGAAAAGAAGAAAGAGCCCATGATCTCCCAGCGTCCCATGCTGGTGGTGTTGCCGAGGACGATGTCCCCACTTTGGTACGCATGGACGATGCCCTGGGGGAAGAGGCTGCAGTGACCACCGGGCTCTGCGGTGTGAGTAGGCTCCTGCACCCAAACCCATATGCATGTGCACACGTACATACAAGCACACACAGGCACACACGAGCTCATGGCCGATCCTCACAACCACTGAGGCCAGACTGGCCTGGGCCAGCAGGCACTTCCCTTCCAACCTGGGGCTCCCTAGGGCAGGAAACATGGGGGCAGCTCCCTCCCTTCCTTTCTCCCCAGAGCCCAGGTCAGCCCTGGATATCTCACTGGCTAGAGGAACACCATTTCTTCTCTGCTCACTCCTGTTCTTGCAACAAGCACTGGCCAGGCACGGCACGTGGTATTTTAGGGGACACGAAGATGACAGAGCCTCATCCCTCATCCCTCATGACCTCAGCCCTCAGTGGGACAGAGACAAACTTAACTCTAATGTGGTGCAGTCAATGCAATTTTAAGGCAGCACAACTGCATGATAATAGGCAAGACACTCCGCCCCTCTGTGCCGCAGTGCAAGATGGGAACACTAACAGCACCTACATCACAGAGCTGTGAGGGCTAAAGGAAGTACTAGGTGTAAAGACTTAGAACAGTGCCTGGACATGGTAAATGTTAGTGGTGGTTGTCATCATTATTATTACAAATAGAATGCTGGAGGAATACAGAGAGGAAAGGTGCTCATTCTGATGGGGGTAGGGAAAGAGGCTTCATGGAGGGGATGATGTTTCAGCTGGGTCTTCCTTGAGGGTCAGACAGGATTCTCCCAGATGGCAGGCAGGAGTGCACCTGGGATCTCAAACAGGGAGACTGAAAGGTCTTTGGGAGCCAGGCCGTGCTTGGCTCTGCCATGCCGGGGATAGGGTGACAGGCCTCTTCCAAGGCCACGGAGCAAAGGAGAGGCAAGCTCAGGGTGTGTGCTCTATGGCAGCCGGCAGTGGAGAAGATGCTGGCAGACTGGGAGGGGAAAGACACCTGCAGGGGTGAGCGATGGAGAGGGCCTGGCCTGCATCCTGGCACAGAGCGGCCCAGGAAGAACAGAGAGGAGATCTTCAGAGGCCAAGCCCTTTGGCCCTATTTGGTGGGGGCAGTGAGGGAAGAATGTGTAGAGGCTGGTGGAGGAGGAGGGCTGCCTGGTCTTGACCTTGGGGGAAACTATATGGCTGCTAGGAAGTTGCATGGACATGTCTGAACTCAGGGGGGCAGACCTGGGTTGGGGACACCATTTCCTTGTTCCTGGGGATGAAAGCAGAGGACGGAGTGAATGGCGTGAAGCAGAAGGGGGTTGGAGGGGGAAGCCTTGCTGGAAACACCCGCATCCACAAGTGCACACTGAGGCAGGACTCATGGTGGTTCACAGCCCCAGCTTCTTGGCTATGTGGCTGTACATCTGTATTCAACCTCTCTGAGCCTCTGTTTCTTCATTTCTAAAACTGGGGTGGTAACAATGGTACCTATCAGTGAGGTAGGTGAGGATGAAGCAATTTAATACGCTAGGGACAGTGCTTGACACACAGTAAGTGCTACACAGAAGCATTTGGTATTGTTCTCATCCCATCATTGTCATTTTTCCTGGGCTCAGGGAAGTTGATCTCCTTTGCAAGGGGAGTGGCACAGAGCCTCCAGGACCACCCGGCGGAGGACTGTGGAAGTTCCCAGGTGGGCAATGGAGGTGCTACATTAGGTCTTTGGTGGAGATGGTCCTTGCCCTGCCCAGCTCCAGGCCCCGCTGAGCCTCAGTCCAAGGGCTCAGGACTCCACCCCAGACAGGTGCCCAGGTTGCAGGCCTTGTCCTCTGCGAGGGGATTTCGGGCTAGTGGGCAGCTGTCTGAGCTCCCGGACAAAGCCGGGACCTGGGATGTTAATGCATCCTCCAAATCCCAGCAGCTCCCAGTCCAGCATCGCCTATGCTGAGTGGCAGGGCACCTTAGGCCATCCTCCATGCCCAGCCCCAAGAACCCTCCCTTGCTCTCCCTCCTCCCAATGCCCTACTGGGTCCCCATTCCCTGAGCAGTCTCGGTCCTCAGGAACCACTGCATCCTCCAGCCCAACGCTCCCTTCTGCCCCTCCAAGTCTGCACGCCCAGCCCAGTGTCCCAAACCGTGGGGTCAGCTAAAGAGCGCCCCACACCCTCCCCTCCTTCTTTCTGACTCGGATCTAAGCACTTGGAGCCCCAGGACCCTGGCACACGCGCCTGGGCCCCATCCCACCACCATCCGGACAGGCGTGCCCTGAGTCCCCTTCCCCCAGACCTACGGGGTCGTGCCCGTGTGGTTGCTCATTCTCGGGCACCGCGCAGAGCCGCCTGTCGCCCTCGTCCCTAATTCGCACGTTTGCACCGCAGTCTGTCGAAGGGGCCGGGCATGCCCTTTCGTTCTTCGCCCGCGGCCCGACCCCGACACAGCGCCGCCCGGTCCCAGTTCGACTCTCCCTCTTCCACTTCCCAAGCCGGCCAAGAGGACCCTGCCCTTGTTCTAACTCGACCGGGTCGGCCCTGGAAGCTCGTGACCCGGGTAAGAGCGCCCCCAGTCGTCCTCATCCCCAAATTCGGTGTTTGCACCAAGAAACTCGACTGCGCGGGTCCTGCGGTCTGGTCCCTCCAGCGCTCACTGCGCGGCCTGGCGCGGCGCGTTCCTCTCGTCAGAACTTTCCCGGCCTGTCCGGCCCAACCCTCCCCCCGGAGACCCCGACACACGCGGCTCTGGTCCCCCCTGTGTCTGGCCCCTCCGCCTTTCTTTTGGAGAAGAGCTTCCGGCGTTTTCCCGTCCAGAGCCAGGGCGCGCCCTGTCGCCCTCCGCCCGCCACCCCGGGCTCCCCTGTCCCGGATTCCCCCGCTGCTCCCGGCCGCCCCGCTCGTCCCTGACCCGGATCAGCGAGTCCAGCGCCGAGCTGTCGAGACACGTGAAGTTCCGCAGCAGCGCCCACTTGTCGCGCTGGAATTTCGCGCTGGAATCCTTCGCCGCGGGGCTCTCCAGCATCCAGAACACGCCAGTGCCCAGTGCCAGGTAGGCCAAGTAGGTGAGTAGCAAGAGCACGATGCCCGGCACCGCGCAGCCCTGGGCCTTGCCCTTGGGCGCTGCCCGGGCTCTCTGCTTGCACATAGTAGAACAGACCAGGAGGCTGGAGCCGGGAGCCATGGACGGAGGTGGAAATAGGAGTTTTGTGGCCCCTTCTCTGGCTAGTGGCTGCCTGTGCCCAGTTTTCTCAGCAAAGGAGGCGCGTGCTGGACAGCCCTGCCCCACCCTGCACCGCGATCCAATCCCAGGGGCAAAAAGAGGCCCTGAGCTGTGGCAACTGGCCCCGCCTCGAATGTGTATGAGTGACCCCCGCCCCCAGCTGGGGAGAAGGGGGGGCTTCTGGGTGACTTGCCGGCGCTGAGAAGGAAGGGGTCCAGGGGCCTCAGCTGTCCTGGAGCAAACAGTGGGAGGGGCTCCTGGAGACCACACTCAGGGGGAAGAGAAAGTAGAAGCCAAGTTTATTGTCATAGGGCCCCTGCCTGAGTCCTTGGACCCTGGGACTATCTCCAGGGTTCGCTGCCTTTTCAAGCCCTCCCTGGATCTCCCACACCATCTTTCTTTCCTCCCTGTTCCCAAAGATGAGGACCCCAGCCACTTGTCTGTGGAAGGCAGAGGAGCCTTGACCGTGGGGCTTGTCCATTCCCTAGTTCTGAAGAGACCCTAACTCCCTCTTCTACCCAGAGTGGAGGAAGGGTCCTGGGCTGGCAGTCCCCAGGGGAGTCAGGAAGTCCTGGGGTGGAACCTAGGTCTCTCTTGCTGCTGCAGATCCTTCCCTGGGTGTCCCACTTGGAGTCTCCTCTGCTTCACAGCCCCTGCCGCAGGCCTGTCCAGAGTTCCCCGGCCACTTATGGGCCTGCCATGCTGGCAGTGGCCTGGGAAAGGTAGGGGACCAGGTTTGCAGTCCTTGGTGAGGCTGGGCCTTGGGACAAACTGGTCTAACTCTGCTCTCTCCCTCTGGCCAGAGGTGTTGCAATCCGGCAGGAGAAAGGGCCGCGCAGCAGAACTTGTTCCCAAGGGGAGGCTGGCTGTGGAGCTCATTTCCCGGAAGTCTCCTGGGATCTGCTGACTCTCCGTTTTCCCAGGGAAACGTGTGTTTGAAAAGGCTCTTAAGAAGACAGGATCCTAGAGAGGGTGATGAGGTCAAGGGGTGCCCTGGGTGGGAGTGAAGGGAGACCATTTCCAGGAAAGTGGGAGGGATACTCAAGACCCTGTAAGCCTTGTTCACTGACAGCTCCAGACTTCTAGGCAAGAGGCACTGGTAGGCTTTGACAGGCAGCTTGCCGGCCTCTCAGTGTAGCTTCCCGAGGGCAGAGATCTTATTTGCACTAAGCTGTGCTCAAATCCCCACCCCTTTCCTTCACCCTCCCGGCCAGCCATTCCCCTGGGCTCTCTCTCATGCCCTGGTCTGCCCTTGTCATAGCAGGTTGAGTACTGGGTTGGGTGGGGTTGCCTCTCTACTTGGCTAGTCCTTCCGCTCAGCTAAATGCACACGGAGGGCAGAACTTTCTTTCTTGTACCCCAGACCCTGACACAGTGCCTGGCACTAGTGGGGCCCAGACCAGTGCACGTGTCCAAAGAGGCAAAAGTAAAGCCACCCAGTCCTGTATGAGATCTCCTGGGAGGGGGTGTGAGCAGGTCAGTGGGGATCTGGCCGCAGTGATCCATATGCCTGGCCACTTTGGAGGAGAAGAGGGCCTGGGCTCTGAGACAACAGCACACATCTCGCTTTGCACACATCTGTCCTTGATGCTGTCTTGACATTTCCTTTCTGTTACTTTCTTGGACATGCCTGCCTCCTTTCTTTTTCCAGTGAGCTCCAGCAACCAGTCCTGGCTGGGAAATGAGTTGGGAGAAGAAGAGGTGGGGTGGGAGGTCCAGAGGGGGTATGGGCTGGGCTGGGGAAGCTGGGAGGGGGTCCAGGGGCCACTGGGGGGCCTCATGCAGAGATTGGGATCTTCTGAGATCTGGAGAGCCCGTTGGTCTCAGGGACTCCCTCTTCCTTGAGGCCAAGGTCCCTGCTGAGCAGCCAGAGCTGGGAGCACCTGTGCAGAAGCAGGGGACCTAATGGGAGGACCAGAGCCAGCCATGCCAGGCCCAGGAGGATCCAGATGGCTGCCAGGCTCCGGTACACCGAGATGTAGTGCTTGCTGGGGTCTGTGCCTGGCAGGGAAGGGGGACATGATATGTTTGTTCCAGGGGTCTGTGGGTACAGCAACGTCCTGCCCTGCTCCCCAGGTCCAGAGGGGTCCTGTAGCCTCATAACAAGGATCTGCAATGGGTGCTTCTGGGGAAAGGTGACGGGTTCCAGACCAGCCACTTTGCAGGATGTTGTGAGAATTAACAGCAGCCTCAGAAATCACTCATCTCTTCCAAAAAGCAGGGGCTGCCCGATCCTCATTAGGAACTCCCACTGACATCTCCTCATCCCCCCAGTCCCGGAGTCTTTGACCCTGAGATACACGACTGCCTCTTTCTTACCAACAACATAGTCCCCGAAGCCGATGGTGCTGAGAGTGATGAAGGCAAAGTAGAAACCCTCAGTGAAACTCCAGCCCTCCACGTGGCTGAAGACCATGGGCGGGAAGACGAGAATGACCAGAGTCCCCAGGGTCAGGAACAGAGCCAGGCCCAGGACCTGCAATAGCTGGAGGTAGGAAGGGGGTCTGTCACTTGGAAGTCCACTTGGAAAGCCCCGGGACTGTATGGGGTGGGGGGAGTCTGGGGTAAATTTGGCAGTGGGGCTGGGTGTTAGCTAGGTCCCTTTCTGCCCTGCAGAGCTTGGGGTGGGGCTTAGATCTCTGAGTGTATGATCTTGCCCAGCTTAGGGAAAGGTTTGGTCAGGTGGGTTGAGTCAGAATTTGGAGATTCCTTTGGGCTGGGAGATCCACTTGTACTGAGGTGTCCCAGATTCCCCTGCACCTTTGTCCTCCTAGTGCGCCTGGCCAATGGGGTGGGCACTGGGGGCACGCTGGGTGGTCTGGTGTTTGTTTTCAACCACAGGAAAGGATTTGAAGCTCCGCAGTGACCATGGAGATGCGCCATGTTGACCTGCTGTCAGCAGGAGGCACCCAGCTGTCAGCTCCTTCTGGATGTATGGCGGCTACAGAGAACGGCCTGGCTCAAGGGCATGCCTTCTCAGGAAGTTCTGGTCTTCCAGCCTGCTGCAGAGCTCCTCAGGGGCGGGCCGTCTTTGCCCCGCCCGCATCGCATTAACCTTTCCCTCTGCCCACTCCTGTTCTTCCACCGGTGCCTACCTAATGCCCGCTCGCCACACTCCATCTCAGTGTCGACCTCTGAAGGATCAACCTGCAACAGGTTCTGTCTCAGCAGGGCCTCGGGGAGGGAGGGGCCCTACCTGGAAGCGTCTGGGCTGGTCCTCCCACCTCTCGAGGGTGGTCAGGTGGGCACGCAGCCCTGTGCCCAGGTGGTTGAGGAAGATCACGTTGAGTGGGATACCCACCAGGGCATAGAAGACACAGAAGACCTGGCCTGCGTCTGTGCTGGGTGCCAGATTCCCATATCCTGCAGGGGAGGAGGAGTGTGTAAATGTGGGGAAGAGGGAGTTCAGAACTGCTTCCCTCACAGACTCTAGCAGAGGGCGGTGGTCTTATACCACCTCTGCAGGGAGGAGGGAAAGTTCCTGTGATCTCCTGAACACGCTTCCCACTCTCTGCTAGAATGATCTCTGTTTACAAGACTCCTACTTGTCTTTCAAGGCTTGTCTGAAATGACACTGCCTCTAGGAAGACCTCCTGACTGCCGCCCTTTTCCTCCCTACTAGGCGTGATTCCCCACAGTGCTTTGTGTCATTCTTATCTAATTGTCTACTTTGCCTTGTATTATTAAAAAAAAATCCTTACCAGAGGATATGTTCACTGATTCTAAGAAAGAGGAAGGAAGAGAGAGAAATGTAAATGTGAGAGAGAAACATCCATCAGCTGCCTCTAGAACGCACCCCAGCTGAGGGTCAAACCTGTAACCTAGGCCTATGCCCTGACCGGAATCAAACCTACAACCCCCTGGTGAACAGGATGATTCTCCAACAGCCCGGGCCACCTGGTCAGGCATGTATTATTGTTTTTGGTGTGTTTATCTTATTCCTCTTTGTGGGAGTGGAAACTCCTTGAGGGCTGAGTCTGATTCGAGTTTGCATGTACCCTCCCACCCCTGCTCCTTCCTCTGCCTCCTGTGTCACCAGGGCTCAGAGAAGGCATTGGACTTAACTGGCCTTCATTCGATGGATGGGGGTTTCCTTGAGGGCGGTGGAGTGGGTTGTCTGGCTGAGGGGTGTAGCAGACACTCTCAGCGCCCTGTCCCCTTGGGACACCTGGTGTATTGCCCACAGCTCTGTGCACAGCTGCTGCACACAGAGAAGACTTCCCACCCCAGGTCCCCACATCTCTCTGCACCTGGGAGATTTTTCTGGCTGCAGGTCTGTGGGCAGGTTCAAAATGATGGAGAGTTAATACATCCAGGATTAGCTCTCAACCAGGCGGGACAGGAGTTAGGAGACAAATGCCCCTGTGTCTTCACCCCTCACAGGGACCATTTGGAGGACGTGCTCTGCCTAGCCTCTCAGAGGGTCCCCAGTGGGCAAGAGCCCAGTTGCCCTGCCCAGGAACCTGCTCACTGATGCAAACTTCATTGCTTTTTCTCCCTGTTTCATTTTCCCACTTCTCTACTGCTGCTTCCCGGAACTGTCTCCTAGATAAACCACATCCGTGTTTCAGCATCTGCTTTTGGGTAACCCAAACCTAGAGAGGGAAAGCCCCTGTTCTTCTTCGCCCCGCCCATTACCTATGGTGGTGACAACTGTGCCTGCAAAGAAGAAACTGCTGCCGAAGTCCCAGTTGCTGCGGTTGGTGGAGTTGCCTTTGGGGTTGACGCCCTTCACCCAGGCTTCCATGATGACCTAGGGGATGGCAGGAAGAGGGGGCCGAACACACCAGCGGTTGGCTAAGTTCTCAGCAGGTGCTTCCGTTGTCACCTCACTTAGTGATGTTCTTAGAAAGTCTCTTTTCCCCTTCATGGAAAAGGAAACTAAGGTTCAGAGTGGCTCCTTGCCCAAGGTCACTGGATTTCAAATGCACCGTCTGTCCTCTGTCCAGGACAGACTGCAGCGTGGGCTGTAAGCATGAGCTGGTGGACGGGAATGGGCCTAAGGAGGCAGAAGATGCTTAAGGAATGGACCAGGTGGGAGAGCCTGCCTGGGGCCAATAGGGTAAGGTGCAAATGGGTTGTTACGGCAATGGGAAGATTTCGGGCTGGATGTTCTTGGAAGGGTTTAACTTGGGAACACAGGGGTTAGGGTCCATTGGGAAGGCAAGGGGCTGCCTTTCCATGGGGCTGACGGTTCCCTGTGCTTCCAGTGAGCTGGTAGCCTTGCTCTTTGCTGCCCCCCAGTGATCGTTGGCCCAGGCCTACAAGAGAAATTCCATCAGAGGCCAGGGCAAAGGTCTGCATGTGTGTTGCTGTGTTGCAGGTGTATGCATGCTTTATGTGTATGTTGAATGCTTTGTGTGTGTGTGTCTTAAGTGTGTGTTTACATAACCTGAACCTGTCCCTGTAGATTCAAGCCAAGACCCTCTGCCCCTGGGCTCAGCTCTCTTGGATATGGGCAGGGCTCCCTCCCCATCTGCTCCCTGATCCAAAGGCAGGCAAGAGTCAGTGGGGGAGGGGGCAGCTCCGGCCTCTCGTTCCCATGGGAACCGTTTCCCCACTGAGCTCTGGCCAGGGTCGGATGGTCCCCTTGGGCCAGGCCGGTGAGGGGTCCTGACACAGGCTGTCTGCTTCTTCTCACTTTGGCAGAATTGGCTTCTTCACATGTGGACTTTGGCCTCCCTCTCTTTCCCACACACCCAGTCAGACCAGGATGGAACATTCTGGAGCACACCCTCTCCCTGGAGACCTTCCCCCTTGGGAGCCACACTTGCCTGGATCCCGACTGTTCCCCACCCTGACGTTCTCCATTCTGCTGAGGAGGGGCCTCGATGTCATCGAGCGTGCTGATTGGGGCACCCCTCGGGGACCTTCTGCCCTTCTCTAAGAACCCATGGTGGGGAAAGTCAGACTCTGGTCCTGTGAACTTCGGCTTCATTTCCTGATGGAGTCCGCCCTTCATACTGCTTACAGTATTGTTTATAGCTTTTTCCCTTGTGATTTGAACAGTAATGTGTGTTCTGGAATCTCGTCCCAGAATCCTGCTCTTCAGCTAGACATCCTCGGGCAAGTGAGGTCCCTCCTAAGGGGCTGAGGACCTAAGGATGTCCTGGCTGCCCCGGGGAGGCCCTGGGGTGGGGTGGGGTTAACCAGTGGCACCTCCCTCAGGGCTGCAGCCAAGCCTCCTTTTACAGAGCTTCCCATCTCAGCCAGCAGTCCTTCCCACTCCCTCTGGGTTTTGTCTCTGACTCAGGGCCGAGGGAGAAGGAGGTGCCAAGGCCTCCAGGGCCCAACCCTTATCCGCACCCCACACCTCCCGGAGTCTTGAGCAACTTCTGAATCCTTCTCAGTCCTGATACAGGTGCTATGGCCCCAGCCCTGTATTGCTGGGGAGCAAGCAAGTGCACCCTGCAGCTGGGGGCCTTATTTCTTGGAAGAAAGGGCTGGGGCAGGTCTCTCACAGCCAACTCATCTTCTAGGCCAGCCGTTTTCCATCCTGAGTGGGCATCGGCATTCCTGACTCAGTGGGTCTGGCATTTCTAACGAGCTCCCAGGTGATTGGTGCTGAAGCAGCTGGTCTCGGGGGCCACACTCTGAGCACTGCTGCTGCTCTAGGTTGTATCCTGCCTGGTGCTTGTGCTCCTTTGTGTGGTGAAGAGCAGCAGCCTGGGTGTGAGTTCTGTCTCGGCCACGAACGGTGCAGCCTTGGCCAGCACATGCCACCCTCGGTGCCTCAGTGCCCTCATACAAACTTGAGATGGCGATAATGTAGGTGATTATGAAAAAACCCCTAAGTCCCAGGTGCCAGATCATGACCAGCGTAGCCCTGTCATGGGGACCCTGTTCCCCACTGTTTAAGGCACATTGTAAATGCTCAACAAATACCAGTGATCATTGTGATGACCTTGCTCTTGGCTTGTTTTTTTTGAGGTGGGTGTCGTCATTCACTCCAGCCCCTAGTCTCGAATGCATTTACCTTCCCTGACAGCACCCAGGTTTTGCCTTATTTCTTGGAGGGATCATTCTGGGGCCCCAAAAGTTTGTGCAGGGAAGCAGAAAGGGCCCAGGCAGGAGTGACCCGCTCTGTTATCAAAGGGAGTTTCCCATGGGTGTGGGACTGGTGGAGCTCAGTTGCCCTGGCCTTGCTCACCAAGCCCAGCTCCAGGTGGAACCAGGGTGGGGACCGCCACTGTGGTGGCTCCTCATGGCCTTTATCTGAGTCTGCTACCCACGGCCATGCCCGAGTGTGGTCAGCATGGGGATGCAAGCTGGGGAGAGGGTGGAAGGAACAGCGGCCTGGGGTAGGGGTCGGGGAAGTGCAGAAATGTGGGAGAAGGAAATTTGCACAGCATGGAAACGCTCATGCTCAGCTCACATTTATGCAGCAAGTGGCAGGTTAGAAAGTGCTTTTCATCTGCTGTTGAATGTCAGCAGCACAGATATGATCATTCTCCCCACCTTCTCAGTTAGGAAATTTGGGGCCAATGTCACAGCATTCCAGTTTTAGACCTGGCCCTAAGTCTCCCTTTGTTCTGTTCCCACACCCTCTGCTTCCAAACAGGGCACTGGTCCTGGGTTGGGGCTCTGGACCTGCCATCCAAACCCCCATTCTGCCCACCATCCCACAGCAGGGTCCCACCTTCACCTGCACAAACTGCTCCAGAGCCCGCTGGTCCAGGCAGGTGTAGTTCTTCAGGAAGCGCAGCTTCTTAAACTGAAATTGATCCCTGGACTGAGCCTCTGCCTGCTTCTCCAGCATCTGGAAGACAGTGGCTCCGAGCAGCAGGTAGCAGATGTAGGTTAGCAGCAGGGGCAGCACTCGGCTGCCCCAGCAGTGGCAGAGCCCAGTGTAGGGCATGGCGTGGCCAGGACTCTGCCAGGTCTGTGGGGCTGGCTTTGGGAGGAGAAGCGGGACGCGCGTGGGGGACCTGCACCAGACTCCTGCCTGCCTTGCCTTCTTCTGCACAGGTGGCTGGGAGTCTGTTTGAACAGTGCAGCTCAGCTTGGATGCACTAAGTGCTGTGAGTGCAAACAGCCTGCCACCCCCCACCCAGCCTTCATTTTCCATAGATAGCAGCAAATGGAATGGACCCCTGAAATAGACCTACCGGTTCCTCCTGAGCTCATCGTGTCTCATCGCCCTCTGCCTCCAAGCTGGATGGATGTTTCTGGGCCAAATGTGATGCTTTCACTCTGCCCAGGCCTGAATGGCCCCCTCAGCAGCCCTCAGCTTCTTACCCATGGTGGCTCCAAGCTCCCAAGCTTCAGAGCTGGGAAGAAATTAGATTTGGTGTGACTAGAATTTGTCCTCAGTTGCCTTGGCTACAAAATGGGACAGGAGAATTGACCTGCCTATTGGGGGAATTAAGGATGAGTAAACGGGGTGACAAATCAGGGCAAAGCAAATAGACAAATGACACCATCAATGAGGAAGAGTTTAAGGGTTGGTACTTCTAATAAATTGGATGCATTTGCTTCAGAGCTTTTGCTGACAGTTTTTCCTGCTTGAAACCCTTGAGTTGGTTCCCTTCAGAGAATATCATATTGGTGAGATATACGTGTGAATAGAAAAGAGGCTAAAAGCATGTGCTGGGTCTGGGTGGGCGTGAGTGAAGGTCTTTTCCTCTCTTTCTCTGCTTTGCTTATGTATGTATGTATTTGTAATAGTTTTATTGAGATATGATTTACATACCCTACCATACATTTAGAGTACACCATTGAATAGGTTTTTGGCGTATTTTTCGAGTTGTTCAATAATTCCCACAGTCAGTTTGAGAACAATTTCATCACCTTGAGGGGAAACCCTGGACCCCTTAGCCATCAGCTCCCCTCCTCACAGCCCGCCCCGCCAGCCCCTGGCAGCGGTTAGTCTGCGCCTGTCTCCCTGGCCTTGTCTGTTCTGGACATTTCATACGAATGCAGCTGTTCAGTGTGTGGCCTTTAGTGCCTGCCTTCTGTTAGCTTAACGTTTTTTAGGGCTCATCCGTACTGCAGCACATCAGTACTTTATTCTTCTTTATGGCTGAATAATGATTCATTGTAGGAATATGCCAACATTTTACTTATCCGTTTTCAGTGGATAGATATTTGGGTTGTTTCTACTTTTTGGCTATTATGAATAATGCTGTTATTCATATCCAAGTGCAAGGTTTTGTGCACACACATGTTTTCAAGTCCTTTGGATATGCACTTAGGGATGGAATTGCTGGGCACCTGGTTACTCCATGTTAAATGTTCTGAGGACCCGCCAGACCACTTTCCAAAGTGGCCGCACCACTCTACGTTCCCACCGGCAGTGTTCGGAGGCTCCAGGCTCTCTGCTTGTGTTTTCTGATATTTTGTGTAATGAGCTCTGGCAGAAGACACGAAGTGGCCCGCCCAATATCCTTTCTTCTCTTCCTGGCAAACTGAACCCCGCTTGGTACATGTCAGGCAATGGAACACGACTGGTCTCACCCGTCACAATAATCCTGCCCCCTGCTGTCCCCAGGAGCAGCCCTGAGAGGGGGTTTGTGTGTGAGCAGTGCAGTAAGTCAAGACCAACAAGGGATTGGGGCAAGTGGGGCCAAGAAGGCACCGTCATCCTGTCCCACCTCCACCTGGTTCCTGGGGAGCCCAGGTGGGTCAAGCACACCCAGTTAGACCCACGTGGAGGCAGGGAGCTGAGCTCTCCTATTCCCACACTGGCCATCTGGGCTTCTCTGGCTCTGTGTATTTGCAGGCAATATGGCCCCAGTAGCTTGTGGACACTCCGCTGAAGAGTCCCAGGTGCAGGTGAGGCAACTGGAAGCAAAAACATTCAAGTGGGAGAGAGGAGCTCAGAAATGGGGAGGGTATTAAAGGATTGACACCTACTTTCCAAGTTCCCTTGCTGCTGGGGTGGCCATGTGACCCAATTCTGACCAATGAGATCTGGGCAGAGTAGGTGGAGGAGGTGCTCTCTGACAAAGGGTTCAGCCCCAGCCGGCCCTCTTCCTGTCTTTTCTGAAGGCACGGATGACTGCACCGCTGAGCGAACTTGTGTCCTCAAGAAAAAGGTCAAGAACGATGCAAAGGTGCTCATCTGATTCATGCACACACCTGTCTCTAGCTCTCTATTCATGTTAGAAACATAAGGCCCACTTGTTTGCCACTGTTAGGTATTCCATTACTTCCCAATGGTTACACGAGGTTTCATTTTTTTTTTTAAGTGTTCAAGGCTTATTTGAGTTGGAAGGAATAGGACCCCCCCCCCTTGAGATATCTCTGGTAATTGAAACAATTTGTGGTGGGAAGCCAGGAGCAGCTGGGGTTCTGGAGGAACCAGGTCCGCCTCCCCACTCCCCACTCCCCACTCCCCGCTGGTAATGTGCCTGCCGCCTCTCCTCAGGGAGCCCCTTCCCCTTATCCCAGAGGGTGAGTTTCTGGTCGGCGCCAGCTCCCGGGGGCTTCTTCTCCCAGCATTTCTCGGCTCAAATGCTCTAGGAGGCAGTGTGTCTGAAGTCACCCTTTCATAGGGGCCATATCGAGCTGAGGATGGGCTGGCCATGAGTCAATCCCCACCCTCAGCCAACTGGCCCCAGCCAGCTGACACCCCACGTACAGGCGTCACTTGGAAGGGACGATGGGGAGTCATGCACTGTGGCAAGCACGTCCAGGACAAGTAACTATGGTTCTGGGATGGGAGGGGGAAGAAGGAAGGGGATCGGGAGGGAAAGAGAGGGAGAGGGAGGCAGGTGTGCCTTGCAGAAAATAAAAACAAGGGGGGATTTTTGCTCTTTTCAGGTACAGGAATGATCAAGAGAATGATAGTGACCTAGGGCCCTTCAGCTGCTCCAAGGCTGAAACCAGAATGACCACAAATGCTGGCTGGCCGTGGAGGCTGCATGTAAGGAATATCCCGAGGCAGTGACTAGTGGGGTCCTTTGCAACACCTCACCCATTTTGTGGTTCAGGTGGGGTCCTGTCTGGGGTGGCAGCTGCCTTCTCCGCAATCCTGCCGATTCTGGGCTCTGTGAGGTCACCTGGGATCTGCGGCCGCCCTGTACAAAGCCCTCCTCACGCCAAGAGCTCTCCCAGACAGCACTGCGCTGGGATGTGGCCTGTTCTGGGAGGCAGATGAAAGGTATGGAGCCGTAAGCCTCACCCTGGAGTAGTGTTTCCTCGTGTTTTGGGGAAGTGGGACCACAGAGTGCTGGCTGTCATCTTGTCACTCATTAAATTTCTGGTGGTGTAGTTAGAATTGCAAGGCTGTGTGATAATCAAATCCTATTTTATTGCCCTGTAGAAATTTAGTACGTGAAGAGTTCTCTTGTGTGCCATTTAAGGAAGCTTATCTGTTGACGTCTGGGGATCTCAGGAAGGTCTTAGCAACCTCTGTCGCCTGAGTATCCTGAACAGGTCTGGACACTGTTCACAGGTCATGGTGGTTGTTCTCAGATGGAAGGAAATGGAGGGGGAGAGAATGCGCTCTCTGCGTGGGAGAACGTGGTGGGCCAGAGGGACGTCTGTGGGGCGCTGGGGTGCCGGGAGGGCTGGACCAGCCATCACCGAAGCCCACCCCCACTCAGGTCCTGGGCAGGGAGCGGCTCCAGGCTCACTGTGGGTGCGGCACAGCACTCCGTTCCTTTGTGGACGGCAGTAGTGCCCCTCAGCTGCAGTTTCACTTTCCATGGTTTTAGTTATCCATGGTCAGCTGTGGTCTGAATATAGTACATGGAAAATTCCAGAAACAAACCAATCATAACTTTTAAATTGCATGCCATTCTGAGTAGTGAGATGAAATCTTATGCCTCCTGTTCCGTCCCGTCCAGGACGTGAGCCATCCCTTTGTCCAGCGGCTCCACGCTGCCCATGCTCCCGCCCATTCGTCATTGAGTAGCCTGTCCGTTACTGGATTGGCTGTCACAGTGTTGCAGTGCAAGTCACCCTTATTTCACTTCTAATGGCTCCAAAGCACGAGAGTAGTGATGCTGGCAATTTGGATGTGCCAAAGAGAAGCCATAAAGTGCTTCCTTTGAGTGAAAAGGTATATATGTAGAGGAAAATACACACACATACACACACACACACACACACACACACACACACCAGTACTATTGTGGTTTCAGGCATCCACTGGGGTCTTAGAACATATCCCTGTCAGATAAGGGGGAACTACAATCCCTGCTGAGAACCTACTATGTGCTGGCAAAATCGGCCAGACAGCGGCCCCCTCCCACCTTTCGCAGCTGCTCTTCATCTCTCTGCTCTCGCTGGGTGCGCCCCTCCCCTCCTCCTCTCACACTCAGGCTCTTGCAGACACCCACAGACCAGCAAGGCTGGAGTTAAGGACAGAGTCTTCCCCGGGAGCACCTCCTGCTCAGTGGGGGACTTCGGAAAACCCAAGGCTGCAGAGCCAAAGGATGGCGACACCCTGGTGGGTTTGGCAGGTGGGGTTCCACGTGAGAGGTTCTCGGAGCACTCTGCTGGCATATGGGGAGCCCCCTTTCCCCGCCTCCCTCCCTTTACTCATTCAGTGCACGCTGATCGAGGCCCTGTGTATGCTGGGACGTGCCTCAGCTTCTGGCTGGCTGTGGCCTCACGTGTTCAGGTTTGGGAGCAGGGCTGCAGGACTGCTGGGGCCTCCTCTACCCTGCAAACGTTCCAGCTCCTGCCCGACACCTCCCCGCAGGGGCACTGTGAGCAGACGATGGACATAAGTCATGATTTATAATCCCTTTCGGGGAATTATTGTGGCTAATGGGCCAAGCCAATTTGTGCTTCCCAAGGAGGGGAGGGCAAAATCAATTAATGGACAGCACCACGGCCAGGCCTGATGGCAGAGTGCGGCCTGACATCCGGCAGCGATAAGGAGTGTTCTGAGGCTGAACTAATAAG